TATCTATCTATCTATCTATCTATCTATCTATCTATCTCCCTCCCTCCCTCCCTCCCTCCCTCCCTCCCTACCAATATGTGATGATACATAAACAAATATACGATATTTGAAAAGCTTTTTTGAGTGAGGGGTTCCTAATTTCAGCATCCCAGAGACTTTGGGGGGAGGGGTCGGGCCTTCCAATTTGGAGCTGGAGAAAGGCCAGGGAGGGTCTTCTATTTCCCCACCTCCCTCTCCCCACGTTTAGAGATGCTCAGGCTTCAAGATGGGGACGCCAGACAAAGCAAGGATCCCGGTTTCCCACGGGAAACTTGAGATGGGGGGGTCTCTTTCCCCCTCCCCCCTCCCCAATCCTCCGCCTTCCTCGGCGGAGGGAAACCCCCCCCCCACGCCCCTTCCCCATTCATTGCCTGGCGTGTAAGGCTGGCCTGGGCTTCGCCTCCCCTTTACCGGGGCTCAAGGGCAGCATCCCTCACCTGCCCAGGTGTGTGTTCAGCCAGGTGTGCTCAGGTTCTTTCCCGGGTGGGGGGTTTATGTGGGGGGAAAGGTTGGAAAAGCGGCGCGTCCGACTCACCGGCCCTTTGGCGGGTGGGGGGTCCGCGATCCCCCCTCCCTGGCAGCTCCTCTCACTCCCTCCTGCCTTGTGGGGTGTTGGGGGGGGACACCCCGGAGTCGCAGCCGGGTTGCCCGGGGAGGCTTTGCGAGGTTGCGGGTTGTTGTTTTGGGCTGCCTCTTTTCTTCGCGACCGGCGGCTAAGCCGGAGCCCCGCCCGCTGCTGACTCGGTCAGGAGGCTCAGCTGATCGCCGCCGGCTCCGCCTTGCGGGGCGGAACTGGGCTGGCTGGGCAGGAGGTGGGGGGGATCCTCCTCCAACGCCCCCTCCCCTCTCCCCCCCCCATTTGCAGGCGCCCCTCCTCTAGCAGGCTCTTCTTCCACCCCCCACCCGCCTGGTTAAAAGGGGGGGGGGTGTCCTCAGCTGCTCCCCCCCCAACCCCTCTGCTGAGTTTCGGCCAGGAAGGAGGGGGGGGCTCTAGATGCCCTCGGGGTGCCTCTCAAAGACCTTGCTTTTCAGCCAGGAAGGAGCGGGGTTTAAGAAGAGAGGGGGCTCCCTCTAGTCTAGATGCCCTCGGGGTGCCTCTCAAAGACCTTGCTTTTCAGCCAGGAAGGAGCGGGGTTTAAGAAGAGAGGGGGCTCCCTCTAGTCTAGATGCCCTCGGGGTGCCTCTCAAAGACCTTGCTTTTCAGCCAGGAAGGAGCGGGGTTTAAGAAGAGAGGGGGCTCCCTCTAGTCTNCCCAGGGGTGTTCAAACTTGACAGCTTTAAGACTTTAAGGTTTAGATAGGACTCTTAGAGGCGGGAGGGACGATTGGTGACCCAGCCAATCAGTGAGCGGTGGGCGGGGCAAGCGTGGTGCGGACAAGCGGGGGAAGGGAGCTGGAACCAATTCTAAACGGTACGGTAGATTTGTGGCAGGAACCCACCACTGATCACAGTGATAAGGAAGGCTTTTCAGCACTTTTTATGGCATCTTCATTTGCCATGTCACAGGGAATGACAGTTTCAGTAAACTGATAGGCAGTTAGCTTTCTTATTTCACAGTTTGGGGTTAAAGATTCCTACCACTGCATGCAAACACTGCTTCATATAATCTTCATTCAGTATTTGAAATACATTGGGCTTTTTATTTAGTTTTGCATTTTGCATTTGTTCTGAATAAAATTAAAAAATATACAAAAAAAGGAAGCTCATTGGGGTTAAGCTTAAGGAAGAGCACTCCCACAACTGCTTCATTTCAGTTATGTATTCCTTGTTTGTCCTTTAGGGCCTGACAAATAGAAATCACTCTAGCAGGGATGCAAAACTAAATAAAATTTCCACAAGGTGTGCTATGCATCACACCTGTGAACAAATCATGTTTTTTTCCAATTCTGAAATCTTAGCAGACAAGAGGGAAATTTTAATATGGATGATATTTGAAGTTGCTAAATCTTACTAGGCAGGATTTCATATTTCCTCTCATGCTGAACTCTCAATAGGGATAGAAACGTTTTGTATTCAGTGCCATCAAGAACAATAAACAATGGAAGAAATTCCACTTTAACAGATATACATTCCTCATTATAAAACAATAGAAGCTCAGTGCTCCTAAGTGAATCTTATTTTTCCCCTATGCTAGTTGGGCTACAAGTGCTTTACGAACTCTTATGAACCCCTCGCCTAGGAGTTATCATTTTTGATACTTCAGAAGCGCTTTGAAGCAATCACTCAACTTTCTACTGACTTCTAATTACAGAAGAAAAGGGGTTATGGATAAAAGGGAAAGCAGAGCTCCCCCAAATTCTGCAGAGCTCCAGTGCTTCAAGTGAAACAACTCTCCTTCTTGCTAGGATTTTCCTTAGACTTCAGCAATGTTAGCAATGATTTAACTCTGCTCTTCGACACAACCAACCAACAGGCAAGCCAGTTATAAATTGTCTCAAAGACCTGAAGGGGAAGGCTTCTAAAAATTGTTTTGTTTTAAACAATTTCCTTGTGATTCTACTACAAAAATTACCCCTTGCAACCTTGACAAATCAGTGTGCTAGATCTTCCTATTGCTAAAGCCGCTAACCAAGAGAAGGTCTCTGTTCATAAACAGTTTGCATAACAATTAATGGGTGGATGCTATTCTAATGCAGTGTTTTTCAACCTTGGCAACTTGAAGATGTCCGGACTTCAACTCCCAGAATTCCCCAGCCAGCATTCGCTGGCTGGGGAATTC